TGCTGCTGGCAGAGTTGAGTCCACACCAGGGAGCCCAGCTGCTATAGCAGCGTGACTGTAGTTAGAATGGAAGCAGTCTCCTTGCATTGTAGACAGAGCCCAAGTATAATGGGATTTTCACCTTTAAGGGGTTTTGGTCAAACTCTCTACATGGTATTAAACGACTTTAAAATCCATCTTGTCATTAATTTTGCTAGCATGCTTAACTCAATCACACACTGTCCTTTGCAACAGCACCACTCATACCTTTGGAACAAACCTATCCAAAACACCTCTGAGGCAGCTGACTGCTGGGTCAAGTATTGTTAGAATCCTGCACATTTGTATATGCCACTCTACAAGTACACCTACAACACATCCCTAGCACTCTTTGGGGGCTGGTTTGGCACATACCCTGTCCATTCACTCCTGTTTGTGTGCACCAGACCTAGAAACACAGGGGTGAAGCCACTCTGACTTCTTCTCTGTGGCCAGCAGCTGTGGGTGGGCAGGTCTGTTTGAGTGTGGCACTGCTTGAGAGCACTGGGGACCTGGTGTGCTCAACCCTTGGTCCACAGGCCAGATTCAGCCCCCAGTACTCCCCTACATGCAAGAATTTGGCACAGGATTGTAGGTATCACTTTCCTGCTATCAAATTTGTGGACCCATGGAAAGCATCATGGGCCAGGTAGTGTGATCCTGCGTACTATATTGGCCCCACAGGTTGGCACAGGCCCCAATTCTGGCATGTGGGACTGATCCCAGCGTTTGGGACCTGATCCCGGCAGGCATGGGCAATGCAGGGCCCAATCCTATTGTGCAGGACTGTATCTGGCCTGTAACCCAGCCCTGCCTCACTCATCTGTCCTGCAGGGCCAATAATTTGAGCTGCACTGTTGTAGACCCATAATGATTTCAGTAACAGCCTTTTTTTGAAAGTTAAAGGAAAGTGGAATTGCTAATTCCCTGACAGCAAATCTATAAAGCTGGCCATGAATCTGTAAGCACTTAACATTTCAAATAGTGATAATTTACACTAAGCTTTTAACTCGGGAGGGAGGGGCACAGCTTAAGAGGTTTTGTACTGCTGAGTTGGTGCATCATCAGGTGACTGGCTCAGAGTTTCCCTCTGTGAGGGAAGGTGCTTGAATCAATGGTGGGGTGAAAGAGAGTAGTCCTGAGTGAGAGTTGGGGGCATAAGCTGTGTGGGTGGTGCTCTCCCTGTTGTCCTTGCAGGAGTTTCGTCAGAAGTCGCTAGATTGGGAGAAACAGCGTTTGCTTTACCAACAGCAGGTTGTATCACTAGAGGCGCAGAGGAAGGCTTTGGCTGATCAATCAGAGCTCATTCAGGTACAGTTAATATATCAAAGTTTTTAGTTTGCAGTGATGGGGGGGAGAGCAAAGACCAAGGAATTCCCTTGAGCTTGAAACCAGTTTAGGTTAACATTGAAATGACTTTTGGGTCTGATGCATTAATTTGGTGTATGGTATATAATATGTATTTACAGCAACAAACGATCTGAAGTCTGTATATGGAAGTTAGGTAAGCCTTCCCTATGGCTTCTGCACACTTGTAAAGATTAGCAGGAGGAAGACAATAAGATGATGGTTTTTGTAAGGGGGTTGGTTACAGGCTATGGTTTAAAATAAATGCTGTGACATATCACTTTGTTCAAAGCTACTTACCTGGCTATAGCCAACTATGCAGTTGCAGCTATGCAGGCCCTGTTCAGAACCTGCTACTGGAAAATAGCCTTCTCAGACAAAAGGCACTTCCATGAGGTACCAGTGTAACAGCATTTTCTAGCCTTGTTTTGAAGCTCTTATGGGAAGAGTGGAATGGAGCTGTTGTTCCTGGAAAGTCAATCTGTTCGCTGTGTTAGTGATGCTGTAGCAGGGTTAGATGAGCTGACCCAGAGCCCAGCTGTGAAGTCACACTGACACAATCACAGCAGACACTGATAAGAAGCGCTTGCTGGGAGCTTTGTACTTTAATGGGCTTCTGAATTGCTGTTGAGTGGAAGCTCCTGCAAGGAAGAACTTTTCAGTGACAGGTTTGAAGCTGACACTGATGGGAGCTTCGTGAGGGGCTGACTGTAGCAGATCTTCAGATGCAAACTGAGCCTTTGAGCAGAAGGTCTTGCTGCTACTGTCTTTTTGCCCTTGATAGTTCAATCTTCTGAGCAGGCACATGTCCTTGACATGTTGGGCGGTGTATTAGATTGGAGATGGACTCTTTAAACACAGTATAAAACACAGGAAGTCATGGTGGGATTTTTGCAGCAGTTTCAGGGGCTTAGAGGCACATCTGCCATTAAAAGTAATGGAAGATGTTTGTCTTACATACTTCCTCTCTCACTCTGCCTGTCTGGTGACTTTTCAGAAAAGTGGGGCTAGCTGAGAACTGCAGGCTCTCAACTAACGGTTTTCCCCCTTCTTGTCCCTGAATTAGGGCAGGGCTGTCCAACTTCTGGGCAGCTGGAGGCTACACGCTATGTGGATCACAGTCCTGGGACATGCACAAGGCAGGCTGCAGACTGAGGGCTGTCCCCTTCCCCCCTCCTCCCCCCCCCCATGCCAGGCCCTCCTATGCCATGTGGGCAGTCTAGCACATTCCCCTTTTCACTCACCTCCCTACCACATGCACGGCACAGGCAGCCCTGCTCCCCCCTCCCGTCATGGTTGGCACTACTCCTTCCCCCTCCCCTCCCAGCAGCACAGGCAGCCCTGGTTCTCCCTACCACGTATGCAGCATCCCTTCTTCTCCTGGCCACAGGCCCACCTGCAGTGTGGGCAGCCCTGCTACTGTTTTTCTTGTGCATTATGAGCAGCCCAACTCTCTCCCTTGCTGTGTGTGCAGAATGGGCACTCTGGCCCCCAAATCCCCAGGGGCAGGAAGTAGAGGGTGAATGAGCCCCAAGATCCCAGTTGCTATAGTAGAAACAATGGTGTGGGGCGGGGAGAGGGGGCCAGAGATGGGCAGTGGTGGTTGTGCTGGGAGCCTGCTGGCCACTTGTTAATCGTTCAAGGGCTTCATGCAGCCCACAGACCTCCAATTGCAGAGTCCTGAATTAGGGGCTCAATTTCTTGGTATCTCACAGTACAGCTACAGAGGTTACTTCTGCATGGCCTTCCCAGGACTTCTCTTGGGCCCTGCTAGCCAGCTAAGCTTAAGACCTGCAATTGAAATGGGGCTTCCTGCATGGTACCAGAGTACTATGTGGCTATGGGCTTTTTAAAAAAAAAAATTTTCACTTTTAGGCTTTTTCTTACTGCAGAAACCAACCATTCATTCAGTCATTCTGACATCCTGTTGGTTTCCTGGACAGCTGCAGGATAGCATTTTCAGCCCTTGTACTTTTTACCCTTCTCTGTGTTTTGACTGCCGAGGTTATGAAAATGTAGAATTTTCACAATGTGTTATTCCTCTAGGTTTCTTTGTTTGTACTATCTGCCAGACAGTAAACCATGGCAAGTGATGACATCAAAACTTGCAAGAAAAAAAGATTTTTAGAAGGCAGAGGTTCTCAGATGCATGTGTCAGGGCTAGTTTATTAAATTACATCAGTTCTCCAATAGAGAGTGGAGAGAGGATATAAAATAGAGTGTAGTTCCTGTAAATAAATGGGAATGTGTTCTTTACAAGTCATATATTTATTATGATTTCTCTCTTCTTTTTCCTTTTTCTCCCTTTAAAACAATAAAACCTTCAAGAAAGTGAGTTTTCTTGCAAGCTTTCTAGTACCAGATTGTTACTGCAGGAAGCAGAGCATGACTGGCTGGTGCTGTCATTCCAGTTTCTATTTGATTCCTTCTCTGTCTGTGTCAAGAGTAGCTCTATGTCCCCGTATGGGATTAACAGATTGACTGGTCATCCTAGCTAGTTTATGGAATTTGCCAGCCGACTTCCACTTTGTCATCTGGCTAGGTTTAACCCTTGGGCTGATGGACAGGGAAATGGGCTGCTCTGATATCTGTTCAGCTTGTCTGAGAATGTCTGATCTGCTTTAAAGATTGTCTTTTTCCCAGACCCCTTTTGGAATCTCAAGCATCTCCCTAATGCCTTTCATCTTTTTGCTTCCAAATACCCCATCTGCACTGTAGGCTTATATCACTGCCTCGTGTTGTTCCCTGGAAGGCAGTGCTGCTGCTTCTCGAGGAGTTTGTTTGCTGTACTGAGAAATATCAGGGCAGAGTCTTCGAGAAGCTTTGAATCCAGATTTGGATTCCGCTCTCTTCATACATTATGAAGAATTTTAACACACCAACAATCACTGTTAGCAGACTCAGCTCAGCAAACGGACGCAGCTGCTGGAATCTGTGGAGTTGGCCAGCCAGTCAGAAATCCAGCATTTAACCAGCCAGCTGCAGAGGGCCAATGGCACCATCTGTGCCAATGAGCTGGAGGTGGAGAGGCTTAACATGAGAGTGGATGATCTGACTGAAACCAATCAGAAGATTCTGGAGGAGGAGCAAAGAGTCAAGGAGGAGCTGAGACGCTCCAAGAAAATGCTGGAGGTCAGTGGAGAAGTGTAAGGAAGGAGGGTTCATGAGAAGTAGCAAAAAGGGTTGTCCAGCAAGGGAACTAGTGGATAATTCAGTGTCTAGACCTTAAGACTATCAATTTAGAAGTACTCCCATCTTTGCTAAGGCCTTTGTGAGTTTCCAGGTGAAATTCAAGGTCATCTTTATACCCACGTGGCCCTCTAGCCACCTATGTCTGATGGCTTCTTCATACACCAAAAACATGATTCATTTCCAGACTAGTTGTAATAAGATGATTCTGCCCAACGCATCTCTCTCTTTGCAGGTATTAAAAGAGGAGAAGACAGAGCTGAGAGCCACCCTGCAGTCCCAGGAAGACTTCATTAGCAGCTCCAAAATGCATGAGGAGCAGTTACAGAAGGAATTGGCCAGGGTGACTGAAACTTTGCACACCAAGGAACAACTTTTCAGGTATTCTTGGCATCTATGCCTAGCCAGCCAGTTCATTGCTGGATAGGGATCTAGATTTGTTCACTGGGACAATAGGGATGCCCTTTGCATATACTTCAATGTTGAATCCTTAGTGATTGCTTTGTATGACAGGAGATGCTGTTAAATGTAAAGTAATGGCACAAGTTCTGTGTTTTTCATTGATTGTATCTGTTGAATTATGTTTCTCTTAAAAGCAACCAGCTTCCAAACAATATAGAATAAAGAAAATGTCAGACTTTTCAGTCTGATAGGTTTCCTGAGGCAGTGCATTGTGTTTGATTTGTCTTCATAAGCACTTCAGATGAGCAGTGGAGTCCTCTCAGGGTTCAGTCCTGTAGCCCATTGACGTCAATAGCAAAGTTTCCACGTACTTTAGTGGTACAGGATCAGGGTCTCAGTGAGATGATAATTGTGGCAAAAATCCCAGCAGCTTCCCACTTCTGCTATGGTGAGAGACAAGTGCCAGAAATAAGCTTCTGATAATGGTGAAGGGATAGGAAGACACGCAGAGATTGCATAACAACCGTGTCCTTCCCTGTAGCAGTGTGTCCTGGTAATGTAACCAGCAGCCATGTAATCTTTCATTGTATTTCAGTGATTGTGTCTCCATCTGATTTGATTTCAAACATGAGCTTATCACCAGACTGGTAAACTTGCGACATCTGGAACATCCAGAGATGTTGCATCATAGCAGTTATTTTGGTGGAGTTTCATGGAGCTAGGAATGTAAAAGAAGAGAAAATACAGTGTTCCCTGAGTTAGCAAGCCTTCTGGTGAAGTGAATTTGTGTGTTAAGAAGGCTAAGGCATGTGTTTCTGAATAGGTCCCTGGAAGACTGCCTGCATGGGAAGTGGCTGTCTCCTCAGGGAGCAGAACTGGATCGTGTTCTGCTGCAGTTGGACCTTGCACACAAGAATGAAGAGCACCTGCAGTCAGAGATGGCTCGCCTTGAGAGCTGGTAGGCAGTGGTTACAGATTTTTCAGAGGAACTTGAGTCATGGCACATGCAATGCTGTATTCACCAATTGTCTCAATTGCTAGTAGAATTTTCCAGGCCCTGCATTATTTGGAAACAGCCTTTAGAAATCAAACTGAAATCTTACTCAAGTATGTTGCTGGTGGTAGTTGGAGGAACTGTTTTGTTGGTGGTTGTTGTAAAATAAACCTTTTTGGGTATGTTTACTTCTTTAGCCTGTTTCACATTTTTTCTTTCCTTTATAATGATCAGCAAAGTCTTTGTGTTGCAGTCTACAGCCAGCTGTCTTCTGGGAGTCGCATCTCATTCTTCTTGCTCTAGATAAAAGCTATAACAGGACTTTTCCATTGGTGGTTATGTAGGGATAATCCTAATCTTATCAGGAAGCTTACCTAAACTTAGGTGAGCAAAAGAGAAGTGGCTGTATCTTCCCAGATAAGTTTTCTGGTGGTCTTTGTCTATCAAAATTGTTTTGGTGTGCAGAAATATATGACTGGAACAGACCTTGTGGGTCACTGAATCCAGTCCTTTTGTTATTACACGCTTGTGGGAAATAGAATAGAAGTGTAAACGTGAACACTGGCTCTTCCAGCCCTGTTCTCTGGTTTCTAGGGGACGCTTTAATTTGTGTTTTTATGTCTCTGGCACCCAGCCTAGGATCTGCAAATGAAAGATGTGTACAACTGAGTGAAGAGTTGACGAAGAGGCTCAAAGAGCTGCAGCAGATGGAAGAACAGCACTGTCAGTCAAAGGCTGAGATGAAAAAGGTAAGGGCCTTTCAGTCTCAGAAATTTCCTACAGTATTCATAACACCTCTGAGCAGCTGTGGTGGTATGTCCTCTGTAAGCAAGGTGAAGAAAGGATTGAAGGCACAGAACTTTGTGGGGTAATGGTAGCCCTGAATGGAGGGGAAGGAGAGAACCTGGGGAAAACAGATTTAGGAGACCTGCTGTAATTTTCCAAACATTTGTGTGAGACTTCATGAGTTTAAACCCCTGTGGGCTTATCTGTATATGGTGTGGTATGTATCCAGACTGGAGATATTTTGATTCCCGCCTCAGAGGCTGTGGGTGAGAATGGATTCTGACCTTGGTCATGACAGCAGGTTCATAAAAGTGAAAGGAACTGAAAAGAAGAGGTCATGGTTAGGTGGCCCAGTGGCATAATGTTCTATTTATTTGTTTCTGGAGACTTGGATTTAAGTGTTCTAGGACTCATGTGGAATGATTGAGTTTGGTCTTGATATCTGGCATGAAGGCAGAGTAATCTGTCTGCCACAAACATTTCGTCCTGTATGCTAAGCCCAGTTCCAGGTTTCTGAGTATTAAGTTCCCAGTAATACTGCTGAGATGGGGAAGGGTCTCTCAACCAGAGGTTTCCACAACAGCTGCATTCTTCTAGAAGAGTGAAAACAAGCTTACTCTAGGGTTAGGCTTTTTTATATGGGAGACAGAATATCCGCAGGGACTTACACTAGACTAGGAACCTTGCTCCCATGACAAAATGAGTGATCTTGGATATTACGCTGTCGAGAACATGATGGAAATCTCATTTATTTGAAGTAGATTTCCATCACTAACTTAAAATATCTTGGCAGACACTCCTGCCTGAGATGCACTTAAACAGCAATCTAATCAACTAATTTTGTCCCACCTGGAAAGAGGCTGTTCTAATTTTGTTTTTTAAATACTTAAGACAGACAGAGTGGTCTCTTTTAAGTATTAGATGATGAGTGTCAAAAACACCTTTGAGAGATGGCTGCTGGGGTGTGTACCCTATGTGGTGTTCAATAGATAATGATCTACAAGATGGTTTTCAGAAGGTTTAAGTACTTGTAGTTTCCTACGGAGTCACTGAAGGTTGCCAGTGTTCACTACATTGGGGTAGTTGGGCTTCCACTCTACAGTAGATACTTATAGCTTGCTGCTTGTCTCAACTGGTAGTTTGTGAAGTGGAACCCAAAAATGAGAAGAGCAAGTTTATGAAAAATCAAGGTAGAAGTGCATTTTCAGAGGTGCCTGAGGAGGGTTACATAAGAGCTTTGTATCCATCAGTGCTTCTGTCTCATGCAACCCATGGGCCTAACACATCAGTCTCCTCACTGAAACATCTTTCTTTAAAAACCATATGTGGCCTGTTCCCATCCCTCTCCAGCTGAAGGAGCAACTGTCTCGCATTGAACAAACTCACAACAGTGAGCTAGAAGGGATGAAAAAGGAGATCTCCCAACTGACGCAGGAACTGCACCAGCGTGATATTGCCGTTGCCTCGGCCAGTGGATCAACCTCTGACATGGAGCAGCGGCTGAGGATGGAGATTGAAAGAGCAGAAAGGAAGGCAGTGGAGCACAGGGTAAAATTGCTACAAGGGTCTCTGTCTGTGAGGAATGAAGGGGGTAAAGAAAACTTCCTTAATTGGACAAGGGGGACTCCTAGGAACCTTCCTTTGATCTAGGTGGACCCTGAAACTCTTCCACACGGTTCCAAGGTAATAGTAGTTTCTAGCTCTAATTGACAGATTTTTTAACAGCAGAATGCTGGCTGGTGCTGTCTCTGAAAAGTGTGTGCTGCTACAGTTTCAGAACAAATGAGGACTACCAAGGAGGAAGATCTCTCACAGTCTAGTCTGAACTAGAGTGCCTCTTGTAAAATTCCTCCAGATTCCCATTTTGGTCTCTGTGCAATGCAGTTTGAAGTGGCTTGGATTAATTTAGATTTGAACAGTAAGATCCTTTGAGAATGTGGGGCCTGGACTGTGTATACAAAATGGTTTGTATGGTTTCCATTAAAACCCCAGTCAGAACAGCAGCCCAGAACCTGCTTTATAAGATATAGTTTCATATAAGATATCTTTATAAGGTATGTTAACATTGGAACTAAAAGTGTAGAAAGTAGTATAGGTCTTTGATCAGTTTGTTGTGTTTATCTTGTTTCCTTAGGTGATTTTGGTTCAGCTAGAAACCTTGAGGCTAGAAAACCATCACCTCTCTGAGATGCTCAAGAAAGTGGAGTCTGGTGTCTCAGAGGTATGAAATTCCAATAGAGATTAGAAAGAGCCTACTATGGTGTCTGGACATGTAGTAAAATAATTAACAATAATAATAGTGATTTTTATTAAGACCTTTCACACAGTGATATTAAGATGCTTGATAAACCGGTACATATGAAGAAAGCAAGGCCCTGAGATTGTTAGAGGTTTGCTCAAAGTCACAACGTAAGTTAGTGTCATAACTGGTATTAGAGCCCAGGTCTTCCAGCCTCCAGTTGAGTGCCCTACCCATGGGCTGACACTCATCTCCTGTTAGCACACCACAATATGACTATGTTTATCCTATAAGAATGTCTGGCTATAAATCTCAGCACTCACTCACCAAGTTCCAGTACTGTAACTACTCTGCCTTTTACAGCAACTGGGGTGAAAATACATTTTGTTTCTGGTAAGAAGGAGTTTGGAATGTTTTTCCCCTCATTTTAATCAATAGGCCAAAGCCCTGGAAGAGACAGCCTTGAGAAACGTCATGGAAATGTACAGGAAAATTATTTTACTTGCTTCTACCACTAGATGTTGCTATGGATGGTAGTTTGTAATGAGAGAGAGAAATGGGGTTTAGCATAAACGGTGGAATATACCAGTCACTAAGGCAGGGACTTATTAAAACAAAATGTCCCTTTAGCCTGGCTTAGACATCACTTGTACAAGGAACAGGGAAACAAAAGCAGTAAAACTAAAATGAAATAGCTGCAGCATTTTGAAGGAAGATGCTTTGAAAGGGGGGAGTATTTTAGTGCCTGTAAGAAGAAAGAAATGACGTTTGTTTTTTGTGGCTGTTCTTGCATAAAATATGAATGATAATATCATAGAGGGAGAGAGGAGGCTGGATGCATGCAGCTGAAAACTTAACAGAGATATTGAAAGTTTTAAAGAAAATATTTAACTGAGAACTGTGGGAAGTAAAAAGGTTTGTTTTTGTTTTTTTTAATGTTTTTTTCTGGAGTGTTTCAAATGCACGAAGTTGCAGGGACATGATTGTAAAGAATCCTGCTGTCTATGTCCGAAACACCTTTCTTGTATTCTGAACTGCAAGATTTGCAACTATAGAATGAGCTCCCCCAGGAGCTCGGGGCATCCACTGATCTCACCCCTTTTCTCCTAGCATAAATACAAAACAGTGTGAGCATCCAACACCCTTCCCCCCCCCCCCCCCCCCCCCCCCACATTTTTCCCCACAAAAGCCCTACCAAAACAAACTTTGCGCTGCATGCACAATTCCTGCTTCTAAATAGAGCATGAGAAAAGAAAGCAAACCCAAAGTCACTTAATGGGGGTGTGGAAGGATCTCAGATACTTACATGATGATTACAATATAGGAACCTGAATAGAACAGGCCGTTCTGGCATAGCCTTGGAAAGATTTGGGAAGGGAGGAAACAGAGAAGAAAAGGCATACAGGGGAAAAAAATAGTTTAGAAATGGGAATTTCCTACTCCAATCAGGAAAAAATGGGAAAGAGAATCAGATATAAAAAGTGGATTATTTAGAGCTGTGTGCACATCCCCTCTTTTTGCCTTTGGAAGTTATTTATTTGAGCCAGACTTACTAAGTTGCAAAAGATTGTATCTAATTTACTTGAAAAACTTAGAGAAAAGATTGGAAGTGGAATTTCAAAACTAGATATTTTTTTCTGACCAAGCATCAGCTTGTGCGTGCATGGGTGGGTGTGTTTGTGTGGGTTGGACAGTTGTTGTAGGATGGCGTAGAGTCTCTTCTCTGGGTTCTCAGCTCTAGAACTTCAGAGTGGTCTGTTCTGACTTGGTATTTAACCACGTTGCTGCAGCAGGTAATCAACTTGCTTGGATAGCAGTAGTACCCTCTGAGAAGCCCATTAAAATTATCGGGCTGTTAGAAGGTGCCTGGTAGATCCAGCCCTACCAGTGCAATCACTCTGGTTTGTGTAGCTGGGGAGGCATTAGGATAAGTAGTAAAAACAGGCAACATTAAGTGATGCCAGGGTCTTTTCCATCCATATCAGATAAATGAAGAATTTCACATCTCTGTTTAGTTTAGTTTGCCTGGATGCAGGTTTCTTAAGATACTTGGGATTCATTTGCTGTGAGGTGGCATCTTTATTGCACTGAACATTGTACTCTTTAAAACAGATCCTAGCAGGCATTCTAGGAAGTCCCTGGCTTATCTATGCTCTAGATATGGATTGTTGTGTCAAAATTCTGCAAAATACAGCTTGAACTGATTTCAGTATCTCTCCTTATGTTAGGCAAAAGATATCCCCTTAAGACACCTCCAAGAAAGCTATGCCAAAGCACTGGATACATTAGAGTCTGAGAACCAGCAACTGCAGAGAGACCTTGCAGAAGCTAGAGCTAAGCTGGAGCTCTCCACTCAGGACTCTGAGGACAAGGATAAGAACATTGTACAGCAGATGTCAAATAAAAAGATTGAGATCAAGAATGTGGAGTGCAGGTGAGTGCACTTTTTGTCCATAACAGAACATTCTCATCAGAAAGGAAAGTAGAAGACAAGTTGGTGAGTTAATGGTGCCACATTTTTTTTTACAGAACTTCTACCCCAATACACAGTACATGTTGGCGAGCTTAAGGACTATTCTGATATTTGCCCTTGTACCTTAAGTGGGACAATAATTTTATTCTCTGCTATTCTGTAGAGCTAGACAGCCTCTGACTTATGCCCTTCCTTTTTTGCTTCTGTGGCTAGAACAGCTCATAGATCTTAGCTGTTTTTATATAGTTCCTGGCAAAAGTTAGCACCCTTCAGGGCCAACACGCATTCTCCTCAATTTATTTGTACTAGTTTTGTGGAGGAATTAGCTATGGTCCAAGTAGCTGTGACCCATCCTTTGCTGGCAGTAGGCTGTGCAATGAACTGTAATATTTAAATGTATCGAATAATAATAAAATTAATGTGAATTCCCTGGAGACTGGATGTGTGTCTAGAGGTCTTGTGAAAACAAGTGATAGCAGCCAGTTTGAACTGCCAAGCCTATCAGTAAACCCAGAGACTAATTGGTTGCCTCTGCATAAATTCCTGCATAAGTTCTGCTGCTAAAACAGAGCCAAACTGTCAAACAGTTGTGGTTTCTAACCTGCTCTCCAGGGGACCTCAGGAGCCGCAGCATAAACACAAGGAAGAAACAAGGAAATTGCAGGCCAACTTTGACAAGAGTTCTCAGCACCACAAAGAGGAGCTACAGGGTCTGAAAGCCCAGCACTTGTCAGCTGAAACTGGGACTGCTTCTGCTTCAGCAGGTGAACAATCCCCCCAGATCAGTAGGAAGAACTCCCTGGAATCTCTGTCTTCCGATTCTTTGCCAGATGTAAACAAAGATTTTACTGACGAAGCATCCAGAGAATCGGTCTCAAGTCGACAGAGAGAATCTGTGCTTTTGGTAAGTGACTGCATACTGTTGGTAACTGTATGACAGTGATGGGATTCTCTATTTTTCTACAGGGCAAATGTAACCAGCTTTCAGAGACTATCTCCTAAGCACCACTATACTGTATGTGTAAGCAACCATCAATCCTCTGGATCATGGTGTACACATAAAAGGTCTAGTCAGGTGCCTGATGAATCTGCTCTTACAGCGTGTGACCATCACACCAAGACCTTTTGAGTATGCCTAGGCAAGCATATTGAGGAGTGGAGGCTGCCCTAGACCTATCATCCCCCTTTAGACCATTGAAACAGAATTCAAAGGCCAGACCGAGTCCTCAGTGCCTCGATAGTTGTAGCTTCTGTCAGAGAGCAACAGATCAGAACTGCTGCTAACTTGCCCAACATCTCATCGAGAGCGTGTTTCTGTCAGGGTGACAGGCTTAGTTTTTTTCCAACTGAGGAGTTACCCACAAGGCAGTGGGGGCTAAGGTTTTGAGACGCCCTATACTCTCCTTACTCTGGAGGTTGCAACATTGTGGTACTTTATAGGAGCTACCCTGCCACAAGTAGCCCTACCTCGTTGCCACCAGACCCTCCAGTTGAATGTAGTTTATGGTCATACCCAGGACTAGCTATACTGTATAGAGTAGTAGTTGCAAATCATACCCTGGGCAGAGAAAGTGATCAGTACTGGTATAGTGAAAATTCTAACAAGAACTATGGTATAGAATAAAATTATTTTCCCCAGCTTTCTGCAACAAGACTTTCTTCGCAGCTCTAAAATTGAAAGCTTCTCGCAGAAGGTTATTATGAGCTGGTTCTGTCTGCAGTCAGTTGTTCTTTTGTATTGGAGTTGTGCATTAATGTACATAAGCAAGCTGCTTTGGAGGCAAGGATTTTTTATCTCTATTGGACCAACTGCATAGTTGGGAGAGCTGTTGCCCAAGCTCTTGGGCATCAGGTACCCTTCTCAAAATTGACCAACAAGTGCCTCGGCTTAGACCTGAGGATGGGCACTTAATATCCAAAACCTGTTCAGTAGCTCTCCTAACTCTACAGTTGATCCAATAAAAGATGTCACACAAAATCTGTGCCTCCCCAACATTTCTTGGGCTATCCTGGCTACAATGACACTCTATCTGTATTGCAACCTGCTTTTGTCACTTTAATATTCAGTGTCACTTTTGTGTAACTTGGATCAGATATTTACACCCAGAAAAATGGGATTTTGGCATTGCACTGCCAAGGGTTGCCCCACACAACTTTTAGGTGCCTGGCCCTTGTAGTGGGATCTGGAGCCTGAAATTAGGTGCCTGGTTTTCGTCTTTGGTGTATGAGGCGCTTGGAATGGGCTCTGTAAAAGCTAGCATACTGAGAGGGGTTGCTAGCTGAGGATGGAGTCTGTCTGAAATCCTGCTCCTGTCTGAGAACTGGTTACCTTAGGCAGCACTACCAGGAAGTGCTGCCCTCCACTTACGATTCACAGCTCAGAAACTTCTCCATACCTAATCCGTCTCCTAGAAAGTGAGCAGAGGTCACCCTTTCCTTTTGAAGTGGGTTGCTGGTGCTGTCAGTGTCCTTTTACCCAGCCGTTCTGTGGTTAGAGCACTCATCCAAGAGTGTTATGTTAATTTCCTTTCTCTGCCTGCAGGGGTCTGAAACTTTGCAGGCAGAGCTACCCTGGATCATCTCCCACTGCCCTAACTGCCAAACTACACTGAATTTTTGAGCTAGAGGGAGCAATCCTTTCTAGGCTAGTGGTTAGGAAGGAGAGAGTCAGGGGTTAAAGTCTCTGATCAAGGGTTGTTTGCACATTGTATCTAATAATGCTGTAAAATACAAAATATATCAGAGGAGTTGTCCTCCTCTATTCATATTGTGAAAGAATGTGGGATTTTGTGCAAAGCCCAATAGTTAGAGATAGTCTGAGAGCATCTGCCAGATTGAGTCCCTCAGGGGAGAAAGGCAGAAGACTGTCTAGTTTGGGATTTTGATGAGACTTAGGCATCAAATGGGAGCAGAGGGGGCTGAGGCACTTCTGTTTCTGGGAACACACAGGACTTTAGGCACTTGGGATCTTTAATGTCATAAAACTGAGGCATTTAGAGAGTTTATGTTCATTCAGGGCTAGGTAGTAGTTCACTGTGGGGCGTGGTTTAGGATTGCAGTTTGAGCCTTCAATCCTAAATTCCACCTAAATCTCTTTTCAGATCTGGGACTTAATGTTTAGTAGATAAGGAAAGCTTTTTTTTTTTCTACGATGAAAGTATGGAATAGAGAAAAGAAACAGGGTTTCTGAAAGGAAATCAGATTGAATGTTTTTTCCATGTACTGCCTGGGACAGATGGTATTCATCCCTTACGTTTAGTCACTATTTTAACAGCTCTTAAAGGACTAATTCTGCTAAATCTCTCCCTGTCAGCACTAGTAGGGAAGGGGACTTCCTCAGAGATCAATGGCTAGCAGAACAGAAATGGGAGGGCTGGGGGGAGAGCTTTGGCTGATTTTTAGAAGTAGAATAGATGAGACTGGGCCCTGCATTTTGGTGAAAGCCCAGGATTTTCCATCTTACTGCTGCAGTGCAAGAGACTCTTTGGATTTGGAAACAACTAGTTGTCTACTCTAGCCAAGAATTTCAAGCCAGGTTTTTTTTCCCTAAAGGATAGCAGCTCCTCAGCAATTTCATGTTTTCACCTTTCAGTTTCTTCTCTGAAAGTCCTCTCCTGTCCTTAACTTAAAGTGTAGCTTCCAAGTGTCCCCATTTTCTGCAGCATGCAATCTTGTAAAACAAAGGGCACGGTGGGACTAGCTTCCTTTTTATACATGAAAGAATAAGTGGTAGTTTATCAGCAAGTGCTGATGAATAAAAGTAGCATTAACCCCAGCTGAAGGGAATTTAAGAACATGACTCCTTTTATGTTTTGAGACGATGGTACATAAAAGAAGGTAGAGACATCCTAGAAGTGCTGTTTCAACTCAGGAATACCTTCCCTTCTGCTAGTCTTGGAATATACAAGTTATTGCTTCCAGTTTCAGAAGGCTGTACTACAGCAGGGAGGAACAGGTAACACCTGTGATGCTGAAACATGCACAGGAGAATCTGGCCAAACATTGGGGGGGAAAAAAAAGCACTGTACCAGCACTAGATTGTGGTTTTATACAACACTTATTGTACTCCCTAGAAAGTGTGAAATTTGATACAAGGGGTGAAATCCTGGCTTCTCTGAAGTCAGTAGTAAAATTCTGGTAGACTTTGCTAGGGTCAGGATCCCACTCTCAAAGTACAATGAAGGAGCAGGGAAATGTGAAAGTCATTTCCCACTCAACTGTAACTCGCATCTCCCCTGACATGAACTTTTATGAAAAATGTTTACATGTGTCAAAGCTCTGAATTGATCCCTTACTCATTTTTGGTAAATGTTAAAGGATTTGTCACTTTTGTTGGAAATTGGCTATAAAAATACCTGGAAAGTCAGGACCTTTAGCTGCTTATCTCCATAACTAGTACTTCATGCTGTTGTTAATGTCTGATATGAACATGAAAACCATCGCTGGAGTCCTGTTTTTGGCTAATCTTCTGATCGGGCTTTAATGCAGAGGTCAGTTTGAAAGGATGCCCAGCTTCTACTTTATCATTTTTGACATTTTGAGAAGACCTTTACTCTGTTTTTGTCAGCCTGGTTCCTTGGTGTATGGCGTTCATCAGTGGGGGACATGGCATGGGACGGGATTTTCAAAAGTGCGTAAAGAACAAGCCCTAACTTTCTCAGTGGGACTAATGCTCCTAAATTACTTAGGTACCTTTGAGCCACTGTGTCAACCAATTAAAAAATCTAACATTAAAATTAACACCACTTTGAAGAGTCATGTAACTATTCTTGCATTTGTTCCAGTTTAGCTTCTAAAGTTCCAAGTCTACTACTTGGACATTCTAAAATTCATAATCTACTACAGCTATGCAATACCTTCATGATCCTGCCCTTGTTTTCTGGGCCCCCTAAACATGGTGAGCTGAAAAATTTGGTTACATTATTAACATTAATTAACTAGACTGCTTTTTCCCCTCTCAGTCTTAAGGCAGAACATTGTACATGTAGAAGCCTCTTGCTGGAGTTCCATTTTTCTGTTCATCAGTTTTATTAATATTTCTTTCTTTAGTGCCCCCTGCCTACATCTCCTATTGGCTCAATAGCTGCAAGATTTTTGGAAGAGGAAGAACTGAGATCTCAACATATCTTGGATCGCTTAGATGCTCACATTGAGGAACTGAAAAAAGAGAGTGAAAGGACAGTGAAACAGTTTGCACACCAGGAATAACATTTCTTCAAGGTCTGTGGACTTGAACACTGGTTTAATTAAATGACATCAGTCTGTGAAAGAGAAGGTACCTATGAAACTACTGGACCTTGGAGGTGGACGGACGGACATCCCTCCTTCTCCAGGCTGAATCACAAGTTGTGGAAGCTAAGGAAATTATATTTCTCTGTGGAGCAAATATTTTCCTGGTGAGAGAGATGGCTATTAAAACTACATCTTTGGTCTGTAAAGCTGTGTCAGTAGACCTTGGCTTAAGTGACTGTAGGCTTCTGCAGCAGAGATAACTGTGTTTGTGTGCATGTGTGCACCCATGTGTGTGCATGCATGCATGACCACATTCACTGTCATAGAGATTTTGATGGCTGACAGGACTGAACTGTGTAAACTAATTTAAATTATTTTTATATGTGGAAAAAGAACTTCAAATAAAATAAAGTGATATGGGAAATACTCTGTCCCCTATTTTTCCTCAAGGGCACAGAGTAGGTTTAATCCAGGCAGTGAGTATTCATCTCTATCCTGTTATCTCCAAGGAGTTAATCTGAACATCTGGGTGAGATCCAGAGAGCAGTCTGGACCTGTGAGGAACCCCACAGGTTGGATGACAGTCCTGTGTGCTACATTGTGCCAGCACTTGGGATCGCTCTGCAGTTGGATCCGATGTGTGAAAGAGTCTATCTGTGGCCAGATCTGATGTGTGGAGGCCATTCTGTCATGCAGAGTCACTTTGTAGCCATATCTGGTGCACAGGGTTGCACCAAAGCTGGCTCACTGGATTACACCTGTGGAGTGATGCCACGGACTGACTCCATTCTGAATCTGACCTATGCACTGGTCCCGTGCCATTCATCCAGCCCATGGGGACAGAAGGTGAAGTACTTCTGCTCTAAAGTACTCAGAAAACATGCAAAGGGCAGAATTCACACTGGGGTGGTCATCAATTTGGAAAGGGAGAAGTTGAAATAGAAGGTGCAGTTGAATGTAAGGGATAAATGAGCATATACCAGATTCTCTTCATTTGTACAATGGCCGTATTAGTCCTGAGAAGCTGAAGGACTAATTTTAGGATTTTGGTTTCATTTTGCTGTAAGAAGAGACGGGCATCCTGAGGCACTTGTCTGAATATTTCTTGCGTGTTCATTCTGTCGCTTATGGGAAAAGAATGGAGACCAATTACGATCTTTGTTCTGTTTATGATGAATGATTCTTAATCTTGCCAGCTATTTCATTTTACCATTCTGGTTTGTGAAATGGACTGCATTGGCTAAGTCACTCAGATGACTAGGGTTAGCCCTAATGTTGCCCCACAGGTGAGAACTCTCCTCACAATACAAATACAACATAGCAGGCAAAGATAATGGGATATACTGTCAGCTGAAACATGGATTGAATCACATTTTCTATGTTGGGTGAGTTTTTCACAGATGTCAGGGGAAGTCATGTACTCAGCTCCCACTAAAAGTAGATGAGAGTTTGACACCTAACTCCATTAGGCTCCATTTAATTATCTCAGCTGCTGCCTTTTTCTTAGGCCTCTTCTGCCTGCTCCTCATACTCCACCCTCATGTTCCATCTGTGGAATAGTTGAGTTTCCTTCTTGGGACAGCTCTTTTACAAACATGACATCTGTGGGTAATGAATCAACACTACTGCACTGTCACTTGCCTTGGTTTGACTCTGAATTGCTGCCTGGTTTCTTTAAAATGTTATGATTGTTGTCTCCAGTCCTAAATTTGCCACTCCCTATATCTATCTGATTATTAGTTTCTCACAACTTTTCATCCGTGTCATCCCATCCTGGAGCAGCTTGATATGGACAGACAACCCAAAATCAAAAACATTATGAAGATGTGCCAGAAAACAGCAGCTAGCTTCGTTTGATCCAGACTGTCCGGTGAAAGATGGTAAGTCATGCCTGTCAAAACAAATGCATTTATTTTCTGGTGCTGCCTCATGCTCTCCCATCTCAACAAATATGAGCAAGTTGAGAGCAGTTCTTCATAACATAAAGAGTTTGAAAACATGGGAGACTTGCGACTCCCTCTCAGCTCTTCCATTGAGAAATCCTTCTGTTTTTGATTTTTCTCTTGGATTCCATGACAAATGGGAATTAAACTTCTAGGGTCATCCAGGATTCTGGTGTCACATGATGACACGTGGGCAAGTCTTACAGCTGCCTTACTTAAGAGGTGGCACTGCAATGAAACCTGGTTTACTGCTCTGCTGGTGTCACGTCCCAAACCAGAAGTGGCATAGCTGCATTACTGATTGAGGGGCGGAATTAAGCAGCATGAGTGCAGTGCTGGGCGTATGAAAGTGTGCTACTTCCAGGGCAAGGCATGATATGTATGAAGCACCACAGTGTTCTAACAGTACCACCTGGTATTGTAAATGAGCAGCGTAGACATGTTCCTGCTCATGGATACTGCTTCTCTCATAAAACCTACACTCTGATGCTGGGATTTTCCAGAATATTCTGTCATGGTCTGTCTCAGCGCTGGCCGTTTCCTCCACTGTAACACAGTTTAACCAGCAGTGAGCACTTCTGAAATATTCACTCTTCACATCCAGATCTCTGGGGTGATATGTTGGCAAGCAGCTATCTGAACAAAAGCAATGCAGGAAAATGAAGTGAGTTAAGTTGTTTCTCTTCTCTTCTAGGGGTGCATAAAACACTGGAGTTTGTCCTGTGAGTTCATCACCTCCCTCATCTGACAGCACTCCACATTTTTGTCTTTTTTTTTTTTTCTTCCCCCCCTCCAGCTTCTTTTTGTATAACATTGAACACTCTTTACAACCTTCTTCTATTTTCCTTGGGTATTTAAAGATCTGCAGTTATTTAAAATAAGTGAGTGTGCTTAAGGTTATGTGCTAAGTGCTTCCAAGAGTAGAAAAGGGCACTTTGGTCTGTTAGTAATGTTTTACTTATCCTTTTTCTTCTTTTGGGAGCATCCAGCACTTAACCTTCATGTTGTGACTTGAAGGGGGTTGGGTTTGCAGATCACCTTTTTTGTGTCTTCAGCTCCTAATACATGCAATAGGCAGCTCTGTTCAGCTAATAGGTTTGGAGAATTCCATCTTCAGAGTTACATTTATAACATGGACTCACTGATTCACCTCACCCCTTTGTCCCAATGGCAAATATTGGCTGTTACATCTACATCTTTCCTTCTCTTAAGTGCACTATTTCTGTCATTTTATGATGGCATTATTCCATTGTAAAGTACAAGGAAAAACATTTGTGTGAAGATATTCTGCTCCATGAAAAGTTTCTTTTGTAAATGGTCCTCCCCCCCCCCCCCCCCCCCCCTGCTTTCTTTTTTGGGTTATTTCCTTTTAAGACTTGGCAAAAGCTGAACTCAAGGTTACAAATTCAGGCCTCTCCAGTTGTAGTTCTTTATAGGGCCTTGAATAAGAATATTGCAGCAAGGGAAAATAATTCACACTCTCCTCCTTTTAATTTCCAAGTGTTGTTGTGTCTCCTGGGACAGAATGCACATAGCTGTTCTCCTGAGGAAAGGCTGATATCTAGTAGGGGAGAAGACTTACTGGGAACTGATAACGTTATGCTGAATTTTTTTAAAATTTCTTATCAAGCATGATTTTGACCTATAGACAGTTAGGATTTGTCTCCAATACACTGGCAATCATGGCACTAGGCAGCTTGAGTATGCTCCTCTTACCTATGTCTGCAGTCCTTTGGTGAGGCTGCTCTCAGTGTCTGCCCTCAGTGGCTGCTCTTGGGTCAGCCAGAGATCAAGGCCTCAAGAGTGGGAAGTGAGGGATAAATCTGGAGCAGTCTTGCTGATGTATTTCTGAGTTCGAAGCATATCTTTGGGCTTGGGTGAGTGAGACGTACTTGGGACCCACCACCACAGAGCTAATTAAAGCTGAAGAGTGTGCCAGCAATTACCATAAGTTCCTTTTACATAAGAGAACCAAGACACATGGCAAGGCCAGAAGCTAAGCTGATTGGATTGATGGGTTTGCAGGTTGCAACCACAGTGCTAAGGAATTGTCTGGCAAGCTTGGGAGGTGCAAGAGAGGGAGAAAGCCAGAGAAACAGTAAAGAGCATAGTCTTGTGCGGGAACAAAGGGAGAGAGATCCTTGGGGCACTGGCCTGGCTGAAGCAACAGGCTTGGAAGTTGCAGGTAACCACCTGTTGATTGTTCCTAGCATGGTCAGGAAAACAGGACTTGGGTACTGTGTCAGAAAGAGGTGTACATCCACAAATGTACGTGATTTATATGATCTGTTTCTCCTCCTTATTGAAACAATGTGGTGGAGCCCCAAATATTCAGGCTTAAAGGGGTCCCCACAGCAGAGGATTTCAGGTGTTATATGAACTGGAGAGTACAGACATTATGGGTGAAACCATGGCAGGAGTTCCACTGAGTTGGATGTAAAACCAGAAAAATCCTCAAGAAGATGCAGCTGAATTCACCCATTATCCTGGTATAATAAGTCATGGTAGAAATTCTCTCTCCATTAGGAATATCAGCTCCCTTTTGCTGCTGTCAGTGACCAAAACAAGATTCTCACATGTCTGGTCCTAGAGGCTACATGTAGATGGCTGGATGAGAGGAAAGTGAGTTGAGCAGTGTGTACCACGAAATGAGCAGTCCTTGTGGCTGCATGAGAGCCTGGTCTGTACAACCGGTATCTGGGATTTGGAACGAATCGACTGCCCTAAACAAAAGAGAATGATGGCTAGTTAGGCTCCTTCATTTAGGAGAGTCAGAGGAGCAGTGCTACTCTTTTGTGCCCCTTAAGTGGCACAAAGTTATTCTGCTCCCTTCCTACGTACCTAAAACATCGTGTTATGTTTGGACCATTATCGAAGCAGTTAGCTAGAGTAATAGGAACATGGAGGCAAAGAGAACATTTGCCACAGATCTTCACTTGTATGTGTGCGGAATAATTTGCGGATATCAAAGAGGAGGAGAGCTTTGACATTAGCAAATAACACCGGGCGGTCTGGAAGCTTAGCTCAGTGTAATTACTCCTCTGTATGGCATAGAGTTACAAAAGCTGCCCAGTGCCTGTTTGTACTGGAAGATAATAGACAGTTTGAAATGGAGGGTCAGTGGCCTGTAGATTACACTATGAGGACATCTCTTGAATTGACTTATCAATAATGTGGGCTGTAACACTGTAAAGTATGCTTTTTTTTGTGAGAAGGAGGAGAGTTGTTTATCCTAGAGGGAGATGACACAGTGAGTACAGACTTCTGAGGCCCTTTTATCTGGGGCTGCAGGGTTCCCATGCATTCATCTCTGCCTTCGCAAACTTGAACATCCCCTTGGAATAATCGCTCAGTCTTGGCAGTTTTATAATTAACGAAGCTGGAGGTTTTTTTTTGTCTTTGAACTCATCCTTTTAATAACACCAAAGAGTTTCCTATGAACTTGCAAGCCTAAGCCAGATGTTTGCCTTCTGTT